GGTGACGGAAAGCTGATGTGCCATGTTAATAGATTTGTTGGCACTGTTTAACCATATTAGACCATTTTGACTGCCCTTCTTTTTCTTCAACCCAACCCTTATTCTTCTTCTTCTTCAACCGAACCCTCTTTGGTTGATTTTGCATATTCTTTCCCCTTTCTTTAAAGAGGAAGGAGCAAAGTAGTTTTCGAACTGGGCACTATGAAAACTCAATAATATAGTAATTCTAAAGTATAAATTCACCTCTAGGACTAGACATTATAGTGTATGGCACTTAGCTGTGTGAGCTCCAAAAGCCTTTGCAAGCTTAGGAAGAATGTCCTCTGGTTTCTCAGGTTGAATGAGAAGATTGAGACCTTTCTTCATTAAATTTTTCTTCAAAACAACCAAGCATTCCATGATAAATTGTGCTTTCAAAGCTACCATGAATGAAACGAAAAACAAACAAATGATTTCATCTTTCAAAATGACAATATCCCAAAACGTTAATGCTGATCACAAAAACTGGAAAAGGTAAAGCAAAACAACAAGAAAAAAAGTGATACCTCCAGTCTTAGGGAAACCAAAGTGATAGGTGGTCTGAAAGAGACAATGGTCGATGCAGTAAACAGGCGAAATAGGCTCTGAGGAAACCCCAAGCCTTGAACAAAGGCTCATTGTCTAGCACCCTCAGATCATTCCTAAACCAAACCAAGGAAACCCCTTTTTCACTTCTCTTCACTGTGTTTAATGAGTACCTTTGGAAGGTCTTCTTCGCAATGCAGTCCATTTCAATGGAGTCTAGTTCCGAAACCTGGTACATCGTTGAGGAAGAAACACATTGCGTTTGGGATTTTGAAGCGAAGCTCATTATGTGCCTAAAATCAAAACGGAATCTAATTTGAGTTGAAATTGCAAAAGTTGAAGATGAAGAAATGAGATTTTTTGTTTGCGAAAGTAGAAGAAAGGAGGAAGGAGAAATAATACCCATATTGTTGAAAACATTTTTGATGTTTCGATACAACAAAATAAGTTAAATTAATTTTAAGATTTTACAAATGATTTTCTAAGTATATTCGATACAATTATTCAAATATCAAAATATTACTCGAAGTCTTTCAAAGTTTAAATTCAATCCTTACTAAAGTGTAAAATTGTGTTTTATACTTCAAATATTTTTGAAACAGTTTTCACAAAGTATTTCAAACAAAAAACGAGTCAAAAATCAAATTTGTGAAGGGATGCACCGATGCACTCATTGATGCATCGATGCACACACCATTTCGAATGCATTTTATGCATCGATGCACAACCATGCATCGATGCACTCAGGATTTTATTAAAATATCGAATACATTTTATGCATCGATGCACATACCATGCATCGATGCACTCCAGGCTTGTTTGAAACATCGAATGCAATTTATGCATCAATGCACCCTTAATGCACCGATGCACTAAGTGTTCCAACGGTCGAAATATTTGAATTTTACACTTGATGCATCAATGCACCTTGACTATGCATCGATGCACCCACTCTCCCAACTGATTTTATTAATTATTTTCACACAATAACGGCTCTATTAACTCCACTAATGATCCCCAACGTTCAGAATCAATTGAATGAGTATTTAAACAAGCTTAGAAGCCATTGATCATAAACAATTATCAAGAATCAAGAAAGAATCAAAGAGAAAGCATCAAACTCATTGTTTGAGCATTTCAAGCCTATTTTTCATTCAATATTCATTTTGCTTTCAAGAACACTACTTGTACTCAATTGTATTCATTCTTGAGTATTCTTTCTTTGTTCTAGAATTGTGCAAACACATTTGCCTTGTGAGGTTTTTCATTAAGTTTGCGAATTTGTAATCTTCGCTGAGAAAGAGTGTTCTCAAGAATTGGGGTATATTCTTGAGAGAGTTGTAAGGTTATCTCTTTGGCCTCAAAAGAAAGAACAAATTAGTAATTTGTTGGAAAATCTTTAATGTGGATAGCTAAGGTAGTGGACGTAGACTTTGGTTGAGAAAGTCGAACCACTCTAAATCGCTGTGCAAATATTTTTAATTTTCTGCAAAAGCTTCCACCAAATTTTTAATTGCCAAGTCACCCCCTCTTGGTCGATTCCGTCGATCGATTAACTCAATACATATGGAAGAGAAGGGTAGGTCAAAATAATGGTCAAACAGTGCCAACAAAATATATTAACGTGCCACGTCAGCTTTTCGTCACCCACAACGATGGATGTTAACGTCGAGTGACTATTTTATAACAAACGATAATGTTAGTGATCGATTTGTGACTTTTCAAACATCAGTGATGAAAATGAACACTTACCCAAACATTAGTGACTATTTGTGTAGTTTATCCTAACAACAACAACAACAACAAAACCCAATTCCCATATATATGGGGTAAGGGGGAGGTAGGGTAGTAGGCTGCCCCCAACGCCAGGTTGAGAATAACTTCCGTGAAAGACCTCCGGCAGTCAGAAAATTAAAAATATAGATAAAATGCAATGCATGTATAAATAATTACATAAATACATAGCTAAAACAGTATTCATATGCAGTCATTAATATCATATGTGCTTCTGTAATGGGGAGTAATCCCTGCAAAATAATCCATGCGAAAGAATCTCTGCATATAGACAGAAACCTAAGACCCGACTAAATTTAATAGAGGAAACATGACGGGAATGATACACAGAAGACAACGATAGCAAGCCCAGGTCTAATCTTTCATAAATACCAATAACAGAAAAGTATAAAAAGTAAAAGTCATGGAAATTACTACAAATGCATTTAAAAGAAGACAAAGATGATACACCCTATAGATGTGACTCACACTACTCGACTACCCTAGTCTTAAGCCTCCATAATTTCCTATCATAGGTCATGTCTTCGGTAAGGCCTAAATCATTCTTTCACGTTAATAATTCGATTATATATTATATTATACTTTTATTAAGTTATTTGTAATTTGTAACTGTGTTGCTTTTTTACTATTGTAAGTTTAGAGATTAAATATTGTGAATGTTAATAGAAAAATGTAGATTGATAAAGTATTTGATTTAAGTTAATTGATTAATAAATCAAATACACGTAATTATAAAAATTAGGCTAAAACTTTATTTATTTTCTTGGGAGAAAAAATCACTCATTTTGGTCTGAAAAATATATTTTGATTCATATTGAATATGAGTTTTTATCGAACGAGTCGGTCGTGAGTTGAGCAGTGCTTAATTCGACTTGTTACTCTTTAAGCTTGATAAAATTTTGACTTGTGCTCATTAAAAAAACTTTTTGTTCTACTCGATTTGTTGCTCATTGCTCAATTCGTTACTTATTAAATTCTCCTAAACTTTTACCTTATTTTTTAACAATATCTAAAATCTAATAAATGAATAATTATTAAATTAATAATTTAGTAGCTTTCTTGTTATTTATTAGAAAATTAATAAATTGGTGTAACTATTAATTAATATTAATTAATAATTTAATATATTTCTTATTATTATCTGTTAGTAAATTATTAATTATTAATCATTATTTAAACTTTCTTTTTAAATAAAATATTTTTAAAGATAACTATTAAAAAATTATAAAAAAATAACAAATTGTTCGTAAATTTGTCGAGTCAAGTTGGACCTTGTTTGACCCAACTTGTTAAGGTCTTAAGTCGAGTTCGAGTTCAATTTAAGTCAATCAAAATTGATCGTTCATCAAAGTTTAACCGAATTGAGTTCAAACAACACACGAACTGCTCAACTCATTAAGTACTCGTAATATTATAGCCCATATATGTAATATTATGGTAAATTTTACCCAATAAGCCAACCGGGTAAACAAAATAGCACATTAAAACAACATGAATTTTATTTTGGGCATGACGAGTTTGCCCAAATATATTTTTATTCACTTTTTATATCGACGTGATGAGTTTTAATAAAATATAATTTTTTTATTAAATTTTGTCATATAAGATTGACAAATTCTAATAAAACGTATTTTATTAAAACTTATTACTACATTGATGTGATGAATTTCAAATCACGGAAATAAATATTGTAGATTAAAAATTAATTTTGAAAATAACTAAATGGACTAATTTTTTTATCTCGGCTGACCTATTAGACAAATTTTACAGTAATATTATTAAACATGCAAAGCCCAACTGAAACTCTTTTAAGGTAAATCAAGGCCTTTCCATAAATTTAGCCCAGGCTTTATTCAAAATTCAACTAACGGCACCCACCTCGCCTACTTGTTTTTTTGGTTAACCCACCCACTCAATCATCAATATATACACCACCACCACCATATCCTTTCCCCTTGGCTGTTTTTGCTTCATCTCTTTCACAAACCAGAGGGAGAAAAAAACTGAAGAAATCAGAGTTCACTTAAGAGAAAAAAGGGGGTTGAAGAGAGATCAAGCAAAGCAGACTGAAAGAGAAACACCTACAACGGAAGAAAATCCTTCTCAAATTCAATTGAGAAAGCAATAACAAATAAATTGCAGTAATTATTTAGGCAAGGAGTCGGAAGAGAAAACCCACTTTTTGTTTTTCTCTGGGATGATAGTGTTTCACTGTAAGATTTCTTCTTCTCTTGCTGTAATTTTTTTCTGAGCTTTTCTTTGTTCTTACATGGTAATGGATTTATTTATTTTTTATTTGGATTTTCAGGTTTTTCTGAGGGAAGATTATAGTGTATTTGCTTAGATCTTAAGGTTGGGCAACCTATTCCTCTTAAAGTTTCAAAATTTTCAGAAGAAATCTTTAATATGACATTTCTTCTCCTACTCTTCTCTTAAACGAAAGAAGAAGAAGAAGAAACTGTAAACACCCAGATTTTGTTTTCATCATCTCTTTGATTTTCACACCCAAATTGGTTTTCTCCAAAAAAAGACAGCTCTGTTGTTTTACTTTCTTCATCAAAAATTCGTTTTTGGGTCTTTTGAATTTCTTTATTTCTCTAAGAAATTAATTTTTTTATTTGTTTATGGTGTTTTAATGGCAGAGATGGAGAAAGAAGAGAAGAGCCAAAGAGCATGCAAAACGATAGAGCCAGAGGTGTTTTTACAGTGGGGGAATAGAAAGAGGCTAAGATGTGTGAGAGTTAAAGACCCTCAAAAGATCTCATATAAATCGAGTGCTGTAATTCGCAGAAGAATCACTTCTGCCAATTACAATCATGGTCTCACCAGGTATGACTATAAATCATGATTTTTCTTGGCTCATCTTGATGGTTTGGGGGAAAAAAGAGATTTTCTTTGTTTCCAAGCATTTTCTCTCCTTTTTTTTTGGATTATTTTACCCTTTTCTTTGATTTCTGAGAAGCTTCTGGGTTGAATTTGGTTTTTTTATCTCCCTAAATCAGCTGGACGTGGTTACGTTTTTTTTCCCCAGAAGCCATCTGCCAGTGATTATGGATTTTCCGAGAAAATTACTAAATGATGTTGCGACTGCTGTTTTTGTTTTCTCAGCTGCCAAACACGGTGTTAAGAAATTTTCCCTGTAAAACTTTTATAATGAAAACAAGCAAAACTGGTAAAAAAATGTGAAATTTACTCATTTAGTATGTTTGGTTTTGTAGGAATTCAGAAGCAGCTATACTCCGGTCGGACCACCGGAAAGCGTCATCGCCAGAGAAGGAAGACAGGTACTACACAACAAGGGGGTCATCAGCAGTGGATGAGAATGGGAAGACTGCAGTGGATAGTGGCAATAATGGAGAGGATAAGAAAGGAGTAGTGTGGCCAAAGCTGTTTATCACTTTGTCAAGCAAAGAAAAAGAGGAGGATTTCATGGCAATGAAAGGTTGTAAACCCCCTCAAAGGCCTAAAAAGAGAGCCAAAATCATCCAAAGGACCTTACTTGTAAGCAATCCAATTGTCGAATTTCCTTCGTATTTTCTGTCGATAATCTGTTTTCTTTAATATAAAATCTTGTATCCGTCAGTATATACGAGATAAACGTATCAGAAGCTGAGGCATATGATGATCTTATCTTGTGGATAAGGATTTCTTAGAATTTTGGGTTCAATTTTGTGCAGCTGGTGAGCCCCGGGGCTTGGTTGACTGATATGTGCCAAGAAAGATACGAAGTTCGGGAAAAGAAGAGTTCTAAGAAGGTAAACCTACGATGGCAATTTTCAGGGATTTAAATAGAGGTCCAATAGTGGCCGATGTATAGTGGTAAACGTGCCCCAGAAACCATTATTTGACAACCGCAATAACACCCGCAATTGCTACAATCCCCTGCTATCTTCCCTCTTGTTCTATCAAGTTTTTCAATATATTGTGCATGTAACTGTTATCTTCTTCCCTGGTTTTGTTTGCAGAGACCGAGGGGATTGAAGGCCATGGGCAGTGTGGAAAGTGATTCAGATTGAAGACCCTACTATAAGCCGCCATGGCAGCTGCAGTAGGGGCGTTTTTTCTCTGATTTTCGCAGCTAATGTTAATGGTGTTGATTGTTAAGAGTGTTGAGGGAGAGAAGGTTAATCAGTCTTCTGCTTGCTGTGGTTTGGTGTATACAAGTTGAAATTTTCATTTTTATGAATGAAAATAATTGTTCTTATTTACCGCGTTAAATTTTTACTGCAAACAGTTGCATGTGGCTCTCTTCTTTCTACCTTCATTTTTTCTTTATTTTTAAATAAATATATATTTTGGGCCTTTTTACCCAGGTATATCCTAAAAAAACATTAATTCCCAAATTCAAACACATTGCAAATTAATTTTGAACTTGCACATCGCGTACGTGTTGTAGAAGACGTTTCTTTGTCTTATATGATACAAAATAACGGCAATAAAAAAAATAATCTGGAATGAGTGTTAATCCCAAAAATTATCTTTATTAGATGACATTTCAATAAAAAAGAGCCTATATTTTGGTATCTTTAACTTGATTTTAGAATTTAATTCGGTATCAAAAGCTTTTTTAGTCTAATATTTCTATTTCAATCAACTAATACATATAACATAAATTTGGTAATTGAGAGGGTATTTACCGGCTACGGTAATCTTAATATACGATTAAGAAAATATCCACCGAAAATGTTAATATTTTTTAATATTTCTGGTAAATCGTTATCTAAAATATTTTTTTTACCAGAAATATTAATTTCGCTAATTAATTTCTAGTAGAATCTAATATTAACATTTTCAATAAAAAAAATAATGTTTTATGTAACGCTTTACAAAAAATGTTAAACATTTTAGATAGCGTCTAATATTAAAATTTTCAGTAGAAAAATAAAACTATAAAGTAACGGTTCACTAGAAATATTATTAAAAATATTAATATTTTCAGCAACATTTTTTTTTAACAATATATTAAAACTATCGTACCTTATACATTACTAATTAAGACGGTAAAAGTGTAATGGTATGAATTATTAACAGTCAGATTTGGTAAAATGTATGGTGTGAAATTGGGGTGACTGATTTATGCTTCCAAAAAAGTTGTGCCTATAACTGAGGTCTACGTGGTACTATTTCTCAGGGACCGATCTGCTTGGATTTAACATAGGGGAGTAAATGAAATCATATTTACATTTGTTTTTGGTTTAATTATAAAATAAATGTTTAAATTATATCACTTTTCTAAATAAGTTCCCAAACTTTTTTCGAATCATTCAAGTATCTAATGTATATACATAAATCATAAATCATAAATCACAAACCAGTTTCAACTTTCAAATGGTATCACCGACTGTAACGACAATTATATGAAAAGAAAGTTTCTGAGGTTATAATATGCAGAAAGCCATTTATCTCAGACGATTGTTTTCGGTATTTTTATCTATATCGCGACGAATTTCGGAATTATGTCTGTTTATATCCTGGAGATGTTCAATGCCACCATAACATAAGATCCTGCAGAACGAATTCGACAAGCATTAGTAAGGATCTTTGATTTTGGATACCATTGCCAGTAATTTATAATGCTGAAGCTGAGCATTTGACAACCATAAGATTGGCAGTTCAATCTATACAAACTAAAGTCTACATTTGTTGGTTAGATGAGACAGAGACCTGAGAAATTAGAAAACCTCACCTCTTATGTCACTTTTACCAGCATGTCAGTTAGCCTGAGATCGCGCAGCTTGGAGCATTTCAACTATGAGCGTTTTCACATCCCTGATACATACATAAAAAACCGATTGAACAGCGATAAAACATGCATGTAACACGGTCAAACCCGAAAAGCATTCCACCCAAGCTATTGTTCTTTTACTTGAAGTTTTAGCCAGTCAGAGAAGAACCGAGATCAGTATACAATCACGACATTCCTATTTAAATAACTGGATTAAGGCAAACAACGAGCTCTGCCCTCCTCGTTTATATCAGTGGCTTTTGCCGGGATTGTATAAATTTCGTTTTTCGTTGAGAATCTCAGAACAGATGCCCCAAACAAAATGTACTAGCTAACAACAGATGATAAGTAATATAAAGATATCTCACTTTCTATCTTCTGCGCGCCTAGGAAAAGGAACTCGAAGCTTGAAAGTATTTCCTTGATAACTAGCCTGCCAGAAAAAGAGGGGAAATGCTTCATATACCAAGAATTCGAATACAGTAAGGATTGATTCGCAACTCATGAGGAAATATTGATTGGACTTTTCAATATTAGTTAACTTCAAAAGTAATGGAAAAAAATTACTCTGTTAGGTAGCTAATAACAAGATTCAATATAAAAGGTTTAAAATTTATCACCTTGACATTGAATCCAAGACTATCCAAATCCAGCATGTAAGCAGAATCAACCTGGAGAAAGACGAAAATCAGGTAGGAAAAGGATGATGAGACAAGATGAGTTGTCATGTTGGATCTTCTAGAATGAAAAATTCATTTTCTGGATTTTCAAGAACACTAATGCACTTTGTTTGAAGAAACATTCGACAGATTTCAGTAAACATGCTTACCTGAACTATGAGACTAATAAATTCAATAAATTTATCCATATTATTATTAAACTGTAAGCGTAAACTAAGACAATTATCTATTTCTCTTGCACAGACGTTAATATTGGGACCAGAATTGGCTATTGAGACATGTCCTACAATTTTCCAACTTAACCAGCAAGAGCTAACTGACTTTTGTCTCTGCAATTAAATGCCTATAGAATCTTACACTTCAAATAAGATAGTGTTAAACAGGTAATATTCCTAATTACCGGGATTGATGTTGCGAATTGCACAATGACTTGTGTGTCTTCGGCATGATCCTTATTCATGTGAGACTGAAACAGAACACTGTCATTAATAAGGACGAATTCCTCATGAAAAAAAAAATGTATAACAAGAGAAAATGAACAGCCAAAAGATACCGTAACAGGCTTAGAAAATTGAGCTATTGGATCAACTTTTGAATTCTGGTACTCCTCTTTCTTGAACTCTTAATGACATAAGGTAAAATAGACAACAAAGAAATAAGATTGTTCAAGAAAAGGATAAAACCACAAAAAATCCGTAAGAGTTTCCAAAAACAATAAATCAAATGGGTGAAAGGCAGCAGAAAAAGAAGCAGTAGCCCCTTGTATTAAACGGACTATTACTTGCTTAGAAAATGAAAATAGGATCAGAAGCAGAAAAATAATCGGAGCGCAGACCTCCTGATCCCAGCAAAGCTGTCGCAACACCTGATACATATCTCACAACTTTCGGTTCAATGCGCATAAATTGGAAGTCACCAAAGTCAACCTTCAGAACGGAAAATATATACTGAGTTCTCTATCTAGACAGATTAGTGACAAGATTTATCTAAAGGGACATACGGAATGCAGGGGGATGCGAGACAAACATACCCAGAATGCATTGGGATGCTTAGCCAAATAAGCAGTTCGAACGGCTGCTTGATCTTTTTCCGAAACCTATATAATTGATCAATGCATCATCTCAAATATTTCAGAACACCAAATCATTAGGATGAGTAACAGGAGAACGAAAATTACAAATAACTTACAGAAATAGCATCACCGTGTAGAGTGATTACTAAATCAGTTCTGTCCTCGGGATCTCTAGCAACAAGCAATGAACATTTGCAATTGGCTAATAAGTCCTACGACAGCAATTTTTGTAATAATTATCAGGTGAAAAGAATAAAACTTGACTGTGTCGAAAGGGAAAATAGGATTAACAACAGAGAAACTCCCAATGGCAGAAAGAAAAATGACTGGTGACCGTGACTATAACATAAGAAACTAAAGCTAATTACAAGAGAACAGGCATATCTTAGAGTTTTCCTGGCTGTCGTAAATGATTTTGTCAAAAATGGTAACATGAGAATATCAATTTATAACCTTAACAATTTACATGATTTAACATAACTATAAGAAGAAGAAAAAAGCATGATCCAATATATGAGTCTTCATCTCCATACACAATAATAATCTGAACGATATCCAATATCCTTTTGATGTTTCAATTTCCCTCCTATTTCTTCTAAGCTAGGACAATCGATGAATAGATTCCAATCAAAGCACTCATACAAATAAGATTCAAAATCAAAGAGAGAACCTTAGTATGAACGGCCAGGCTACTGACTGCTAATATTGGAGATCCACTAGCATCACATGCAAAGTCGACCATTGACCCCGATGGATAGCCCTCATGCTTCTGCATGCAGAAAATGAGTAGGATAACAAGAAATTTTTTTCCTAATATGAGTTGTCAAAGAAAACATAAGTCATCATTCTAATTCCATCCAAACACTTCCACAAGAAGTGCCGAAGGACCCAGGATTTTGGAAGATCTTGTTTCCATCACAGTTCTATATAGGAAATATCAGCTGTACGAGCAACAGCATGGCCTAAGATACCGAAACTGCAACTAGGAAGGGCGGAGAAGGGGAAAGTTTGCAATATTCAGCAACAGCTTGTGCAAGTTTAGATTATAGGAGTCTTGTGGAGCTAGTTGATTAAGTTTATATTCACTATGAAGTGTAGTGATTACAAGGTTCTTTTATTCATTTTTAGAATTGTATGCTAGATGATGAGATAATGATTTGCATCATAGTATTAAATTGCGGCTGCAAAGCAGTGTAACAAGCACATCATAAGGTCACCGCAAACCAATTCCCAACATAAAAACGGAGTTATTTTAGAAAATAATTCATGGCGTAACTTCCACAACAGCAATACCTCAGCCGCAATTTAATACTATAATCTTCATACTGAGAATCCTTCTAACTTCTTCATTCCAAATCATCACCGTGGAAAGGGTGAGCAAATGACAGTAATCTTTAACAAAACGATCAAACAATAGCTTTCCTCAAACAAGTATCAAAACTGTCTTTACATCAGTCTTTATGATAAATTAACCTAAATTATAAATGATCAAATCAACTAGTAATATGATGACATACCTCTGAAAAAGTTGAAAGCATACCGCGCGTGCTCTGATCAAGCACAGTACGGATTTCCTCCACCGGAGAAAGCCTAGCAGCCTTCTCCTGAAAATGGAATGACCAAATTTCAGTAAGCACCAAACCCAAGTAAACTACAGGTATATATATATAAAAAAAGAGGGAAACTCGTACAACATTACATGCATAAAATTTAACAAACCTGGTGAGCTTGAATTAACTGAAACACATTGGTTTCATCATGAACATCATCAGGAGAGATTGCCTGGCAAAATAAACATAAAACCCATTAATTTTTCTACAAGAAAAGAATATTTTCCAATCAATTAACTCCTTTTCAGATAAAAATCAATACAAAAAAGAAAACCCAGGTTTCCGTATTCTTTTTTTAGATATATAGAAACGAATATAACATTGAGTGTGTAAATTACCTGAGAGGAAGAAGAAGGTCGAGTTGCAGAGGCCATGATAGAGAGGGTTCTAGGAGGAGAATTGAGAAAGAAACGACAGTGGCGAAATTGAAAGATGGGAGAAGATGGAGGGGTTTTATAGACATTTAAGCGTGATAGTAGGGAGAGACTACGAGTTGCTGGTAGAGTCGTCATTCCTTCAACCAACCTGCTAGAACTACAAGATTCCTATTCAACCAAACCAAACCAAACCAAAGTATATATTATTTATTTAATTTTTATTTTTTTTAATTATTTTGAGGTTGAAGACTATTTTAAAAGATGCTGAGAATTTAAAAATGAATGAGGTGGGAGGTTGAAGACGGAGGCTACCAAGAAAACTAAAAGGAGGCGACATGATATCTGGTCTAAATTTCAGGGCATTTTTATTGGCATATTATCATTCCAAAAAATTTACGGAGGGAAAAAATAGTTCTCATTTTGTTTTATTCTTTTTTTATATATATATATAATTAGTATTTAAAAGATTAATCATGGGTTTTAGCGAATCAATCTTTAAATTATTAAAAATAAATAGAAAAATACGTTTCATCACAAGCATTTTATAAGGATATGATCATACTATCAAATATTAAGATTTAAGATTTTTTTTAGGTAAATTACATCAAATATCACCTAATCTATGACAATGTATCATTATACTATCGAGTTTTAATTTTTTTTTAATTATAATATTAAATTTTGATTTCAATTATACTACTAAATTATTAAATTTTAACGATATGATGACATGAATGAATTCTTTTATTATTGTGATGATGTGGATAAAACAATGTTTTGATGTTGTTATCAATGCCAAAAATAATGATGTTTTAGACCCTAAAATTTAAAGGTGTATCAATTTTATTACTTGACTTCAAAAATTTTAATTTTTAACACTAAACTTTTTCGATTGTCGTTAATAGTATAACATCCTAAACTCGACCTTCACTCAATGACCACTTCACGAGTGTCACTTTCTATCATTAAAGTAATATGAGAGTTCACGATTTTAAACTCATGATTTACTCAAAAAATTTAGAACATCTTATACGAAAATAATATGTTATTTTGTAATATTTTAGAATAAAAAATAATAAATAATTTTTATATTTATATTTATACTATATGGAAGCAATATTATGTATAGCTTTAACTGGGTTGTCGAAACTAATCCACTATATTAAGTTTTAATTTTGTAACGTTATGAATCATTATTTCTTTGAAATATTATATATCCTTCCCTTGTTTTCAACTTACATGAGAAAAACTCCTTTCTAAAGTGGATACTATTATTCATTGTTTGATTTTAAAGAAATTAATCGATCAAATCAAAATTTAGTTTAATTAATCAATCGATTAATTAGATATTAGATCAATTAACGATTATTTTTTTAAAGTTTCGATTATCGATTAATTTATATCTAAATCGAATAATTAATTAAACACATTAAATATTATATATATATATATACACACACGCACGCACATTTTAAGTTCAAATTTATTAGAACCAAAACCTAATTATTTTTAATCACACTAAATTTATTAAACTTTTAAGTCTAAATCAAAATTTAATCCAAATAGGAAAAATATTTCACTATTAAATTAATCTAACTGAAAAATAACAATCAATTTTAGTTAATTCAAAAATTGACCTAATTAATTGAATTATGTCCGATTCGATTGATAATATTTTTTCTAAAAAATCGATGTATTTACTTCATCTATGGTTAAAGGCTTTGTTCAACTCAAAACACTTGTTTTGCATGTGATGAAAATGCAAGACATAATAAAAGGTAGGGGTGTTCAACTTCAGTTAAAATCTATTTATTCAGTAGAGCCAAAGTTTTTTCGGTTAATCTGTTGGTTAATTTTAAGTTTTTTGGGTTAACGGTTAATGATTTTCAAACTTCAGTTATCGGTTAATTCGATATGAAATCGGTCAATTAAATGAATTAACCAAATTAACCAAAATTATTAAATATTTAATATATCATATATATTAAATAGAGAAAATAACCTCAGTGACCGAAAATGCCTTATAATATATGATTTTAACCAATTTTTTTTGGATTTGCCAAAATGACCAACAAATTCGCAACGCGAACTCCTCGCAACCCAGTTTCCAATTTCGCAACGCGAATCTGTAAATTGCAACGTGAATTTGTAAATCGTAACACAGAAGTCAAATTCGCAACGCAATAGCCAAATTCGCAACACAAAAGTCAAATTCGCAACACAAAAGTCAAATTCGCAACGCGATAGTCAAATTCGCAATGCGAAACATAATATTAATTTCACAACACAAATGTAAATAGTATTATCGCAAATCATAACCTAAAACCCTAAATCACAACTCAGACCCATCTCCATCTCTCACTCTCTACGGTGAAATCCGTCCCCATCCCCGGCGAAATTCGTTCCCATCTCCGGCGAAATCCGTCTATCTCCATCTCTCAGAGCAATCCTCACAACCATTCACGGTCAGAAATAGAAAATCAACCACCGAGGGTTAGTTTTTTAATCTCTTATTTTTATTTTGAAAATTTTGTATTATTATTAGATTTTTCTTATATTGATGATAAATTTTCTGGTAATTTCAATATATATAAAGATTAACCATTTCACTGAGATTGCTTAGTAAATTCATTCGGTTGCTGCCAATACTGCTAAACTGTTTAGTCTTTAACCCTGTGAAGTTAGTATTTGTCTTTGTTTTGTCTTTTTGTTGAAGAAATGCAATTCATTCAAGTTTCAATTTGCAGAAGAATAGTTTTTGAAATATAAATTCGCAACACGAAAATGAAAATCGCAACACTAAAATCGCAACACCAAAATCGCAACGCGATTTTAGTTTCGTGTTGCGAATTTAAGTTTCAGAAACTACTCTTATTCTGCAAATTGAAACTTGAATGAATTGCATTACTTCAACAAAAAGACAAAACAAAGACAAATACTAACTTCACAGTGTTGCTAATTTAAGTTTCAAGAATAAACTACTACTCTTTATGTTGACCTTGAACCTACACTAAACCTATATGTTGTCCTTTTAAATGCTTATATAAGTGCTTACTTCTGGAATGTTATTTGATGTATTTTGTGAACTATGATGGAATAATGACAGCATGTGAATACCGTACTAGTTTGAAACATATTTGGCTTTGTTTTCACTGTTTATTATCATGTCTGTTTATAGTGTATAATTTGTAGTTTTTGGTATATCTAACTTGGTATGTTTATTGTTTTTGTAGAAATTTTTTTCGGCTGTATTGACCTTAAGGAATAAATTAAGCCTAGCCACTAAAATTGTGTCGACGCTTGCACCTCTACAAAGAAAATTGTTTGAGGATACTTGCTTCGGGCCATGGCTGAAAGTACAACATACGGGTGGAGATGCTATGTTGACATATTTGTTTCTTCAGACCATGACTAACGATCTACCCGAGAGGATACAACGTGGTGATGAAGAGATATGGTTTCATTTTCCTCCGGCACCGGCGTATACTTGTTTTGGGCGGGAGGAGTTTTGCTTAATCACTGGTCTACGCTTCGGACACGATGAAGTAACCCGGTACACTAGTCATACCACCCATCATGGTTATCTCGGGTTTTTCCTGAGCTGGCAAAGTCAAAGCCGAGTTTACACATCGACGACTTGAAGAGATTATTTGTTAAAGATGGTTTTACTCCGATGGATGACCTTAATGTTGTCCGAGTATGCCATTTATTACTTTTGTATGCTGACTTTTTAGGTAAAGAGGGCAGACAACTTATCTCTGAGGACCTAATATTATAGGTAGAGGACCTAAATGCATGGAACCTGTTTCCGTGGGGTTCATATCTATGGAAAGCTACCTAGAAGAAGTTGTCGTCTGCCTTTGAGGACCGAAAAAGTTTGTGGGGCGATGGTTCTAAATACACTTTGACATGCTTTACTTGGGCCTTTAAGGTAAGAATTTATATATAATGTTTCCAAAATTATAATTAATTATTTAACAATTACTAATGTTTGTGTATTATATTGTTTTGTAGATTTGGATATTTGAGGCTTTCCCCAGCATGCGAACATATGCGATAAAAAGATCAAATGATATTCCTAGGGGTATTACCTGGAAGAGGATCCGCATGTTAGATTGGGAAGAGTTACTCCTATATACGACGATGAATGATGTAAGTTAACACACAAATAATATCATACATAAACAAGTTATTACTAGTACAAGTTTAACTTTGTTTGAGCTTTTATATTGTTAGGAGGCCAACTATCCATTACAGAGGCTGACACCCACAGAGGCTGAGCTTGCTACTGATTGGTGGCAAGCTAGTAAGTGGTTTTTTGATGGGACGGATGATGAGCACCCCCCAATTTGAGAGCCATCACCTGATCGGGTCGATTCTACATCTCGATACCTGGAGCCATCACCTGATCGAGCCTCTTCTCCACCTCCACCATCACCTATTCCATCACATCATCGAGCCTCTTCTCCACCATCACCTCATAATAGACGACCGGCAAAGAGGCCACGCCATTTATCTCCCTGTTCTCCACCTCCACGGGATGAGTTAGGGGAGTTACATGATTAGGTCGGTGCTTTGCGTCATGAGGTCGGTACTTTACGTGAAAATAATGGTGCATGGCGTGATGAGGTTCAGTCTTTACGTGGTGAGGTGGATTTTTTACGCGATGACAATGGTGCGCTACGTGGTAAGGTATCTACTTTACGTGATGAGGTTGTCACTCTACGCGAGATTATTTCGTCATTGCAGAATGAGGTTTATACTCTACGCAATGAGGTAAATTTGTTTAATACTATACTAAAAATGCAAATAACATTTTTTCAGCATTATTTATTTATTTATTTACTGATTTATGTATTAATTTATTTTTAGCGGCCCGATAAGGTAGATGCTTTATATCGGGTTTTTCTTGCACGACGGGGTTCACGCATCAGACGTCGTGCACGTGCCATTACGTCTTCGTTCACCCCACTAGTGCCAAGACTCCGTAAGAAGAAGCTCGATGCACCTATCATCATTCAAGAGGCACCTCCTATCGTTCAAGAGGCCCCTCTCATCATCGAAGAAGCCCCTCCCACCGTTCAAGAGGCCCCTGTCATCGTTCAAGAG